TTATACAACTGGAGATCGTTCAATGTCATGTCTGAACACAACATGATCGGTATGAATGTTCACTGGTGATATCAGTTTGAAAGACCTGCTGCTCAGTCCTTTCTCTTCATGATTAGAATTTTAGTGTTCAATACTGTACTTAGACTGAAGGACGAGAATAAAAAACGAGCCTCCACCACTTCCTGTGGGGTTGTTTTGTGTCAGCGTTTCTGGTTTCACTTGTCTGCACTACATTGGTTGGTGTGCAGAACCAATTCTGAGTAATAACAACGAGAATGAGGGCAATATATTAATACATATGTATGTCTAAGCAAATATCGTGTACCTTGGTTATGTGCAGATTGAGACTGTGCAGCTGCAGACTTCCTTTCGCAGCAGTTTCAGTTTCGCCTTCTTTGTTCTGGTCACAACTGTTGGGCCCTTGCCAGGAAAATGTGCCCTGGCTCAACAGGACCGATGTCTGACTGTCCTCAGGAGACACTGTGGACAAACATGGTGTGGTTAGCACAGTGGAAATATGACATAAAAAAACAACTGAGAGAGAAGCTATAAAGAAGTCCCTGGTTATTTGTACACTGGCTAAGCTCTCTGTCGGTCACATTTCTCTTTTACTTACTCGTTACTCTTTCAAAACCTAACATTTAATGCGGCAGGCCTAACTATGCAAACCCACAATAATATCAAGCAGTAGATGAAGAGGACAGAAAATGTCTGAATGGAAGTGAAGTTTCATGGGTACACCTTTAACAAATAGAAATTGTAAAAGAAAAGCTGCCTTTTTCCTTGATTGACACCACATACTGTCAGTCTCCGGACCTGTTTCTGGTTACTGATTAAACACAAGGACACTTCCATAAACACCCACTCAGCAGCCTACCCAGGGCATAGTATCCCTGCAGATCCTGGTTGGTCAGATTGAAGAAGCGCTGGATTCGGTCCAGAGACACTTTGGCCTCCAGGACACCATTGAGCACCCAGGGGAATGAATTCAGTGGGATGATCAACATTCCCACCAGGGCCAGGGTGGTGAACACCTGCAGGGGAGCAGATAGACCTGAGGTTCATGTATTTTAAATGCATGTATTTATACATTAATTCATTACCAGGAGACATGGACACTTTTCCAGGCCAGTTTTTAGTGTTAACTACAAATTTCCAATGAAGTTTGATGGACTTCTTGCTAAGAATCCAGTGAATATTGTAATATATCAGACAAAAAATTCATTTAAACAGTCCCAGTGCCAAAAAATTATATTTGATTCTACATATTGGTTGATTTAATTAAATTTTTCTTTCATTTAAAGCCCCAGTGGAAATCATCACTCATTCTTTGTTTCATGTTAAAATTACAAATGCTTTCGAGAGCTCTTAAGTTTTTAACAACATGCTTTTGTTACAACAACCCAAAATGTACACAAAGCTCACTGGTGGCACCAACAGAGTCACTGCAGTACGTTTCCTACCTTGGCTGCGGTCAGCTGGTGTCCAAGTAGCACGTATGTGACAAAGGTGAGGATGGAGATGACCACAGGCAGGGCGGCCCAGGTGTACACACACATAGCATCCAGGTACTTGACGGCCTTAAGGTAGGAAAGCTCCTCTTTACGACAGTCGGCCACCTTCTGGGTAAAATGAGGCTCCCAGTTGTAGAACTTGATGACACGAATGCCAAACAGGATCTCTGTCATTAACTGGGAGATAAAAGTAGGAAATGGTTTTGTGAAGTGTGTCAGATTCTTCTAAAAAAAGACATTTTCTTTTCATTCTTACAGTATTAATCGAGTCATGATTTCTAAACTGAACCATTTGTGAAATATCTGTGATGAAGGAATTCCAGCTAATGGGATTTTATTATTAGAATCACTACTATGTCCACAATTATTATTATTTTTCCTACCACAGCATTTGTGCTACAAAACCCCCCAAATAACAAGTAACTGCTGAAGCAGGTCTCACCTTAACACGGTTATCCTTGCACCTGAGCATCTGTCTGTGGTTTATAAGGAGGCGGGTAGCGAGGAACTTGTTGAACGGCACCATCACCAGAGCAACAGCCAGCCCTCCAACAAAAGCAACACCGACTTGCAGATACAGCAAGTAGAGGGTAATGAAAAACCGAAAGGGCATACTCCATAGTTCGTGGAAACTTCTTAAGAAGTTGACCACGCGGTCTGTGTCCGTGCTCATTAAGTTCACCACCTCTCCCAAAGTAAAGCCCGCCAGGCTGCAGCTGCTGACCCGCAGGGCTTTCCCATAGATGGCCGACACAAGGGCAGCGCGTACTGTCAGCTCCACCTTAGAGACCTGAAAGAAAAAGACGCTTCGGAGAATGGCACACAGAAGGGTTGTGGCAAAGAGTCCCACGGCGCACCAGACTCCCGTGCTTAGTGGGGCGTCTTTGTCCTCCATGAAGTTGACTAAAATGTTAAGAAGCAGGGGACCTGCAAAGCTAGAGATGTTGATCGTCACCTTCAGCACACCAAGGCTGTAGTAGCGCAACCCAAACGCCTTGTGCAGCACCCTTAGCAATCGTACATCACCCTCCAGATTCATTGGTTCCTCCTGATAGTGTGAACTCCACGTGCCATTCACGAGGTTTCCGCTGACTGGCCTGGGCCACTGATCCTGCCCGTCGCTGACTGTTGCCCCTCGTCGACAGGCTTCCCAGCACTGATGGAAATATCGACAAACCACACTAGTCCGAAGTTTCCGTGGAAGGTGATACACGTCGGTTGGTCTATCCAGCTCCCCTCGCTGCCCTCGCCTAAACAGCGGAGTCAACCACAGGTAGAAGACTCTGGAGATGCAGCCGCTCCCGTCTTCAGCCACCATGTCACCCGTGTCCGGCTGGGTGCTCTCTGGGATGAGCGGCGATCCATCCACAGCATTTATGTACAAGGTGTAGCCAGCATTGCTAATGCAGGGAAAAGCAAACGCCACGAGGTAAACCAGGAACGGGAGCGTCCGAGCTGCGACAAGAGCAAATCGTGCCAGTTTCAGAGGTTCAGTGAGGTTTAAATAATCTCTGTTTTCACAATAAATCATCAAGGTGATGACAAGGTTGGGGACTAAAAGAAGAACCAGGAGAGGCAGCAGTGGAGGCCCTCTGGTTCTCCTCAAAGCGGTCCTCTGGAGCACTGCTATGGCACTGAAGTGAACCAGCCAGCCCAGGATGGCACAGCTGTCAGTTAAGATGTCCAGATACATGTCCCCCTGCTGGAGGACGCTGACCAGGATGACGTCTGCAGCGAAGAGCAACACAGCCAACAGAGCCGAGCCCAGCCTGAGCGTCCAACCACACGGAGCAGACGTCTGGATCAGGGTGGATCTGGGGAGCAGAAACATATTTAGTTTAACTAGAGCAGCTGAAACATGAGTTCCTCAAACAAGGGCATGAGGAAACTATTGATCAAGACAAACAATCATTCATCGGCTGGACAGCAATGAATCCAATTTTTTATTTTTTTTAAAGTTATTTTTTTGGCCTTTGTGCCTTTTTTATTGGATAGTGCCAGTGAGAGAGAGACAGGAAAGTAGGGGAGAAGAATGGGGGGAGGACATGTGGGAAAGGGTCATGAGCGGGATTCGAACTCATGACTTCCACATCGGGACTAGTAGCCCTGTACATGGGACGCCAGCTCAACCAGGTGAGCTGTAGTGGCGCCCCCCAATTTTTAATTTTATTAGCCATTGCAAATTTTCCCTGGATGCCCGAGGACTTGAACTGAAGTCAGGAAGAAATAAAGTATTTTGATGTTAATGCTGTTGTACAAATGTAAGACATATTTCATTTGAAAATTAGCCAATAATTGTGTCATTCTGATGTACGTTTCTTGTTGTGGATAACTTTATTTGTTGTCTTGTGTAATTACAACATTATAAAACACTGACTGATAAAACAGGACCTGATGTTTTCTGGTATTTAGACAACAGATACCTATTAATCCTAAACTATGCAATGTTATGTTATTAAACTAATATTGTGAATGGGATTATACTTCTATAATAATTGCATTCCTCTCTTATGCATCTGCACAGACCAAGCTGTGAACGAGAGTAAAATGAATGTGCTGCTGCAGATAGGTGCCTGCTACCCCGTATGACCTACCTCGCCATGCTGAGATAACAGGCACTGAAAATTGCCATTGCAGCATTCGGCAAGGCTCCGAGGACGAGCTGGTTAAAACAGGGGCTGACGTTTCCATTCTGCCACAGAGGGAAAGGATTCTCCTCGTCTGTGTGGCAGAGGCCCGCGACCAGCTCTGCTGGCCCAAAGTCACTCATCACTGTTCCTATTTGGTTGCTGTCATTCTGGAAAATATCTGTAGAGAAAAGATAATATCAGTCATCAGCTGTAAGGGATGAGATGGCTGTTAGACACACAGATGACAGTTATTCCTCCAGGTAAGGTTATAAACAGACTGAACAATGTGCAAAAAAATAATCATATTGTGAATGTAAGATATATGAAATATTAGTCATTTTAGTCAAAAATGGGCTGCATGGTGGCTCAGTGGTTAGCACCGTCACCTCACAGCTAGAAGGTCGCATCCCGGTGAGGACACCCGGGATCTTTCTGCGTGGAGTCTCCATGTTCTCCTAGGTAATGGATGGAGGTTGCTGCTGTCTGTACCAAACAAACATGTTCCCTTATGTCAGGAGAAATACGTTTGAAGGCATTTCTGTAACGCCACAACATTTCATTTAAAACACTATGTTATAAAACAGTTTACCAAAATGCCAGCTCCTGCAATTTGGATATTGCACTTTGCCATATGACAGCTTCCATAATATTTCGATTAACTGTGCCCTAGCTCTAAGGCACAATGTAAAAGTCTCAGAGAAGAGTATTGACCAAAGCAGGTCCTTCCCAAGAGCTTTGAAAACTGTCATACATACATTTAAAGGTTGCGTAGCCAAATATTCCAAAGACAAGTTATAAAAAAGTATTGAAATATAAATTTTTTTGGAAATACTGGCTTTTAAAACAGGATGTCCGGTATGGTTTAACATTTTGAGGAAAATATCTCATTGCACGCTTCCCATCAAAGATGAAGATTTGTGATATAATTCCCTAAAGCTTAAATTTAATACTTTTTTGTGATGCATTTAAAACATGTAGTGATCATTAGACCACTTTTATTAAAATATTAACTGATGGATATTCTACTGCGAGGATGGGAACTTTGCTCAAACATGTATTCAAACTGCACAGGAGATCGAACAATTATCACAAAAGCAGAGACTCTGTTAAGTTAAAGAAGTATTCCGAATAATAATAATTCAAAAATTGGCAATTGGGAAATAATCTCTGAAACAGGTAAGTCATACATGGCTTAGGAGCTGCATGTTGGTGCTGCATATCGTGTAATCGGGCTGAATGAAGTAATAACAGGACAAATCAAACCCTGGGTCCAAACGCTCTGCATGCAGCCAGATTAACTGATCAGCCTAAATATTCATGTTCACATTTCTGTAGCCCCTGTAGTGATTATTTCTTTACATCTGAAGTAAACACAAAATGAAGAGCACCCAGTAAACACAGTCCTCCACCAAGGCACAATCACAACAGTCTGGATTAATCCACTGGGTTCTCCTCTTGGCCGGGTTTTCCAGGAAGGTTTATTAGATGGTGGTTTTTGTAATCTTGCAGGCAGACAAACCAACAGCACTAAAAACATATTTCTGCCTTGACAGATGGAAAACTTGCACCTATAAAACCCTAATAAGTCTCTTTAGTTAAGCTCAGATCTTCTCAGCTCGATCTGACCAAATCCACTGATCTCTCATGTGGTGGGTCTGAGTATCTGACTGACTCTAAGGTTCCTGTAACTCTTCTGTAGTCTCTGGTTTCTACTGAGCATTCCTGTTTAACAGCTTTAAACAAACTTGTCCTGAATGGGCTGTTTGTGCAGCTCAGTCTTCTTCTGTGAAGACGAGTTAGCTCAGATGAGTGGCTTTCAAATATAAGAGACTTTGAAGAAGACAGAACTACAACTGTCAACAACAAACTAACATACCTCTGGTAGCTACCCGCCATCTGTCGGTGTCAGTGTCCCAACATAAATGCGTTTCACTACCGGGCTTGAAGCAGTCAGTAGAAAAAGAATCAGTTCAAACGACAGGCGCAGATATCAGCGGTTTCCTGATTGAAACGGAGCAGCTTGACACACTAATGTAAACACACGAGGCTAGCTCGTTAGCTTAGCTCAAAAAAATATCAAACAGTTGGACTTGTTATCCGACAGTACCGAGCCAGCAAATAATTTATATAATAAAATACTAACAAGCGACACCTGTGGTAAATATAACTGGATAACACCGCCAATGCAACGTAATTACGAAGAGTAATCTTCAAATATTACCGGCTTTTATCGAGCTAGCAGGACAGACTTCTGTCGCCTACTGATGACGCACACAACGAGCTTTTCGAAATAAAAGCCCAAAGCACGTGAAACAAAAACTGAACAGCAGCTACTTAAGAATAAATTCAAGGAAATAGAGAAATAAAACAAGAGACACTTGCAACTGTGAAGTTAACATTAAATTGTTTTTTTTTTTATGTTCAAAAGAAGCCCAATCACACATATGCATGTCTGTAGGTATGTATGTATATATGCCTGTCTGTTTCCTTCTAATGTATTTATTTATTCATTTATGCATGATTGATATATATTTTTTGCTTTTTGTTTCTGATTTCATTTGATTGAGCGCTTCAGTTTTACATAAAATATATTTCTGTGTAAAATAACAAAAACTAAAAACTTCACAACATCTGAGGGAATGTGCAAACAGTAGAGTAAAATATAAAAATAAGTCCTGGACTGTAATTCTACCTCTGTCTGATTGCGCAATTACTAAATTACGAAGTGCCTTTATCTCTAATTGGTCCTAAAATGGCTTCAGAAAAGAAAAAAAAAAGAACGAAGCAGTGGAAATGGTTTGAGTTCTTTATTGAGGGGAGTGACTGTAGAAAAGGAGCAAGCTATGTTTTAGCACCTTTATACAACTTATAAAATTAATTGCTGGTTCTCTAGGTTCTCCTGATATACACAACAATTGGCTGTAAAACATTATCCAACACATGGAGAAAGAGGAGCAATTAATTTACAGAAAAAAAAAAACAAGCAACAGAAATGCTTTAATTTGGGGAGAAAAAAAACAAAAATGTTTAATTACAATCAGCATGAAATTTACAAATTTTGGAACCTGGGATTTGAATCAGTGCACATGACATTAGCATGTAACATAAGTTAAAAACACGAAAGAAAATTTACAAATGTTGTTACCTGGAATTAGACAGAAAAAAAAACATATTTAAATACTGGGTGCAGCTGTCTAAGGCATCTTTAATTCAATAGAAAAGAGATCTAGAAGTCTTATACAAAGCAGGAATGAAGCTATACAATGTCACATTATATTTTATTCCTTACACACTGTACAAAGTCCATTTCCTTAACGGCTGGCTACGCCAACCACAACACTATGCAGCTTAACTCTTGTTTGTTTTTAATATCCTACATTTACTGTGTCTGACAGACACACACTTTATTTACATATTCAGACATGAAATACAAACATAAATATGAGCAGCCTCCATCCATCCATCCTTCCCAATGGCAATGCACGTCTTCCGACACATTCTTTAAAAAATACACCAAATATTGGCCACCTAAGCTTTTTTTTTAACCACGTCACCGCTGTGAAGCACTTCAAGAAAAACCTGCTTCAAAGTGCTTTAGAAATATATTGAAGCTTTTTGGTCAAATTTCTCTCTTGTGTACAGAAAAGAAATTGTTGTTGGAGATTTTTTTTTTTTTTAGCAAAACTGAACCATCTGCTAAACATTATTAAAATCAGTAAAACTCAACGCAGAGGTGAAGCCGCTAATCTGACTGCCAATTTGACCAAAAGGCTTGTTTAAGAATTAGTCGGTGTACTTCTTCAAATAAAAGCAAACTGACGGACGACCTGTTCGTAAAAAGGTCTTCATGATATCAAAGCTGACACGAGAAACGGCATGTTTTCTGTAAAGCAAATGATATACGAGTAACTTGCGTGAATACTGTACAGTAGGCCTAATGCTGGTCGTCTGTATATCAACAACAACAAAAAAAAAAAGTCTCAAGTGTTAATTCAGAGTTAAAGCTATCACATAGCTGGAAAAATCATGTAACTTATAGACGGCCTGAGAAAGCTCTTCTTTTCTTTTGTTTTTTGCATCTTGTGACGTGATTGTCGAGTCAGGCCAAATAATTCAAAATCCGATCATATATATATATATATACAGCAATGCATAGGCTACAAATCACCAAATCAAAACCATACTGTGAGTGAAGCAGAATGAAAGTGTTACCCTGGAATTCTGTGGTTCTCATTTGTCAGTACACAAGAGTAAGCAGAGCTGGGTATCGTCTGTTTTCTGATTTTTTTACTTTGAGAAGGAATAAAATGTATTTTTTTTTAAACATACACGACAATGAAAACTCTTTTCTGGTTAATAAAAGAAGAAGACGTGAAGTTGACAAAGAACAAGCAGCCATTTAAGAACTCCGTTAAAACACAGTCTAAAAGGTTTAAAATCAGGAAATATGTGAGCAAATAAAAAAGAATGGCCACACACGATTTCAGTACCAAAAAGTATTGAAATCCGATACCCAGCTCTAAGCGTACCTTTTGTGGCATCAGAGATGAACGACCGACTGTGTAGCAGCCAGGTTTGGACCTCAGAGGTTTGAGCAGGTGTGTCACCACGTTCATCAACTCCTCCTAGTTCAGAGATGTCACAGAATTAAATCCTTAATCTCTTAGAGAGTCCTCTTTGATCTCATTTCCAAAACTGTTAAAAAAAAAAAGTCTTAATTTGTTTTAAGGCTCTTAACTCAGCTACGCTCACAGGAAAGTTCTCCAGAAACGTTTTTGCAGTGCTTCTCTAAAGGCAGACAGTTTTAGGTAGTGTACAGATATGAAACCATCCTCATTCCTAAACATCTTCCAGACCAGCCGGCTCGGACAGGGTATCGGTGCAGTTAGCTACGAACGTTTAATCAAAGGGGATGTGAGTGTCCAGGCTCAACAGAAGAAGCAGCTCGGATCCACAACACTGACAGTCAACTTGTATGATTGAATTCTAAGTGGAACAGTTTCCTCCCCATCTTTAAGAAGTATTTGTTGAGTTACTGAGTTAAGTCCTATAGTCGTCAGATGTTAATAACAACAGCAACAAGCCCCTTCCTAGACGCCGACACAGGTCACATGACTGAGCACAACACCTGGTTGCTCAGATCTGAATCCTCTTTGCTTTGGTGTTCCACAAGAACCAATCCTCGGTCCTCCGCTATAGTTCAGTTTGGTTGCTTTGAATTAAAATAAAACATCTGTCCAAGAAATGCCTTCTGGAACGTTTTCTAACCTTGAAATTTGCCCCCACCTCGATACGTTCACATCACTGCAGGTATCCACCGAGTCACCAAAGCTTCACTAAAACATCATTTTATTGTTTCAAATCCAGCACGTCTCTGCTCTTAGCTGTTGATTTGTTTGTAATGACAACTTGTAAGGCACAATAACTTCTGCCCCTCAACTCCTCGCTACGAGCACGAGCTCGGCCTGAAGTGCTGCCTGTGATCAGAGACGGCTCGCCTCGGCTCGGCTCGGCTCGCAGGACGAGCTCAGGCCGGCCCGGTCAGAACCCTCAGAGCAAACTGTCCTCAAATGTTCTTTTTATATCCATTTTGTCTCTCTGCTGTGAATTTAAGCTTCTTCTTTTTAACTTCAAGTCAGTCTGGATGCTTTGTTCTGTCACATGCCTACGCTTTAAATCAATCTCTAACAATTTTATGGAAAATGTTATAAATAGTTTATTATCATTTTTAATATTATTTATAATAGTACGCATTTACACACTTGAAAAATAGCTGATGTAAACTTCCAACGTTTTCAAAAGTATCGTGACGGGGTTTCTATGCAGTGGTCCCAAACTTATTTGGGTTTTTAAATCGGCAGCAACTCCTGCTGACACACAAATAGCTTAAAACAAAGTGAACATTTCAGTTGAGGTAAAATAAATTTCTGTGTACAAAACATGGTAATTTTTTTTTTGTCTTTTTCGGTGCTTGGCAGCCAATTTCTGGGAGAATCGGATGTTTCACAACAAAGAGCTTTGCAAAAGAAAAAAAAAAAAAAAAAGAGCAGGTTTTGGGGGAGAAAAACAAAACAAAAGAGATGGAAACCGTGACTGAGGTCCTGGAGTCTGGGTGTTGGTATCTGAATAATTCTGTGTATGTTCCTTCCCCAGAGAAGCTCATAAATAAGCAAGCAGAGTTAAGCATGTGTGTCTGAGGCCTCACCGTCTTACAAATTCAGTCAGAGCGAGTTCTGGCCTTTGTTCAAGACTAGAGAAAAACAACAAACAAACAAACAAAAACTATTATTATTGAATTTGCTGGATCAGTTTGAAGTCCGTCAGGAAGGATTTCTTTGTACACCACACTACACAGTGCCGTAGAAGAGTGGGAGGGAATACAGGGGCTGTTTTTTTTTTTGGAGTATTTCCCGTGATGGGGTAAGTCACACACACACTCCCTTGGTCTCTCTGCCCCTCCTTCCTGTAACACAGTTTTTTGTGAGTTTGTGTATAAACTCAGTGTACAGTCTGCTCACAGGTTCTTGGTGTTAATGTGAGTCTTGTAATGCTTCGTCAGGTGGTCACTCCTCATGAAGCGTTTCTGACACTGGCTGCATTCGAAGCGCTTGTCTCCTGCGGGAGGAAGAAAAAAAGAAAATGACGTGCGGAGCTTTTATTGTCAAATTCATACAGCGAAAAAAATCTGCTAAACAAGCCTGATTGAGAACCGTCAGTCCAACTTGTGTCATTTATAATTTTACATGAAGCAAATTTTTTTTAGCAGATTTTAAAAAAAAAAAAAACATCCAAAAAATGGATAAATGAAGGCTGCTGTTGTTTATATTATTTCCCATCAACACAACAATATATTTACAGACAGATATAGTCACAACTTTACCTGATTTATTAAAAAGAGAAAAGTCCAGAAAACTGAAAACAGATTTGTACACCGAAGCTTCGTTTCTCTTTCATCCCCCAACTCAATTCACACAGGATCACAGGAATACAGGATTGATTTTTGTTCATGCGTTTCAATGATTCCCACAAAGAAAATTCAGAGTTCAAGGAGAATGAAAGACCAAATGATATCCACAGTCTTTACAAGCAGATGTAGACCTTTTATGTACCTTTGTACCTACGTAGTGGCAGGTTTATTCACTTTTACTTCTCTAAAGAAAGAATTATTAACACAAATAAAGTTTATCAGAGACAGAATTGTCATGATTTCGACTTCCTGAAAGTCCTTGAACTAATCATACGTGACTTCAAGTTGCACTGGGAAGAGCAACCAAATCTAAGTCACAATTGTACCATCCATCTGTCTGTGTGGAGTCTCCATGTTCTCCCCGTGCAGCGTGGGTTCTCTCCGAGTTCTTCGGCTTCCTCCCACAGTCCAGAAACATGCTGAGGTTAATTGGTGATTCTAAATTGTCCGTAGGTGTGAATGTGAGTGTGCTTGGTTGTCTGTCTCTAAGTGTAGCCCTGTGATAGACTGGTTACCTGTCCAGGTGAACCTGTCTTCACCCTGAGTCAGCTGGGACAGACTCCAGACCCCCACCACCCTAGTGAAGGTTAAGCGGTGTATAGATGATGGATGGATGTTTCTGGACTGTGCGAGGAAGCCGGAGAACCCGGAGAGAACCCAGCGCTGCACGGGGAGAACATGCTAACTCCACAATCCCGGGTGTGCGAACCGGCGACCTTCTAGCTGCGAGGTGACAGTGCTAACCACCGAGCCACCGTGCAAACACTGTGTTCCTCAGAGCAAACAAGAAGCTACGACTGAGCTACAACAAATGGTCACTTGATAAAAATTGAGGGCAATTTTGTCTGAACTGCAGGCGGCGTTTACAGAGAAGACAGAAGACGAGAAAGAAATGAAATGCATAGGCAGTAAAACAGCTATTGTATTTAGAGTCACCATTTTTTCCAGTATTGGTAACATCTGTAGGAACCTGGAAAGATGCTGTACATGTTGATTTTTGGTATTTTTAAATGGCACCACAGTTTTTTTTTTCTACACAGAAGACATTTTAAGTTCTCTTTCCGTCTATGCCACGGTTGTGCTGTTTCCATAGAGGTGCAGGACTTTATATTGCAGTGAGAAATGAGCCCACAGTGAGTTAAAATGTGTCTGAAGCTAAAAAGACCAACGTTCAGAAGATTAAAGCATAAATCAAAAACTAGCATGTGCAGTATCGACATGTAGACGACTGTAGAGCAGTGGAGTCAACTTTTTACAATATTCTGCACTTTAAATGAAAAATTACCTCAAAAGAGAATCACACAGAAAAACATCTTTCTGTTCTTCTAGCTCCTGTATTTAGCTCAGAGGAGGAACATTTATTCAGCTCTGCTTGCTTTAGTGTCCAATTACCACAATGCACACTTTAATTGAGCGAGCCAACATGCCAAACTAAAAGGCCTGCTTTTTTTTTTTGTTTCAGTTTTGGATCTCACAGTCATCATTTCCTGTTTGTGAAGCAGTTAAATCTGGCACTGCATTTTCACTGACTGACTGACTGAAGAGGCACCGCCTTAGTCGAGGCAGGACACTTTTCCCCATAACTCAACGTGTAATTCAAACTGTTGGTATTGTCCTATTCCATGTGCCTAACTCCTACATCTTTTAAGGTTTAACTTCTTCCAGACTGTTTTGTTTATGGAGTATCTCATTGTGAAATGACGCATGAAACAACTTCATAATTCACCATGTGTGTGTGTTTTTACATGTGTGTTTAGTGTCTGCAGCACCTGTGTGCGTCCTGGCGTGCCTTTGCAGCTCATCACTGCGCGTGAATCGTTTCCCACAGAAAACCCAGTTGCAGACGAAGGGTCTCTCTCCGGTGTGCAACCGGACGTGAGCTCTGAGCAGTGATGTTTTTCTGAACGTCTTCTCACAACCGGGGACGTGGCAGATGTGCTTCCTCTTCCCCACCTCCCCAGGCCTGCACAGACAACACACACAAATGCAAAACCTATTAGCACTGAATTCATTGTCAAAGGGGACTTTAAATAACAAAAGCGCCTGACAGCATTTCAATGTTTGTTTTTCAGGGGGTTTGATGCTTGTATTTGGCACAAGCAGTGAAGTGAGTGAAAGAAAAGATGGGACAGAAAGTAGCAGAAGGACAGCAGCAAATGGCCTGAGAATCAAATTGGAGACTTGCTGCCTCCATGTGGTCTGTGCCCTAATCACTCAGCTACTGGGTCACACCACAGCTTTTCCATTCTACATCTATTCTTGTCTTTCTACTGAGAGCTGGGAAAACATGGGCACGTACAATATCATACTGCCACATGGTTGTCCATCTCTTGACACACTCACCTCTTGTCTGCATCTTTACAGTAGGGACAGGTACAGGCCATGCGTCGCTTCTTCTCTCCTGGCTGTCCAGGCAGCTCCAGGGTGAGGGTCTGGTCCACCTGAATGGCAGGCTGGCCTTGCGTTGCTGCCAGCTGGAGGCCTCCACCCTGCATTGTCTGCACCGTTAGATGCTGCTGGCCTGCCAAACACAGACACAGACACACTTTAAGAGACACAGTAGGGCTACTGCAAGAGCTGGCAAGCTCCTTTGAAAATCTAATTAGACCATGAGCGCGCTGCCATGAGTCAAATTGGAATGAAATTCTAATTAATGGTAACATGAACATAATCCAGATGTGAAAGTAATGAGGTGGCAGTCTGTCAAAAAGAGAGGTTTTATGTGCAGTTTTTTGTGCTGTTTTCCACTTCAGACTTTTGACTGTTGATGATTTTAAATAACTAAAATAAGGTCCATCCAGATGTATGCTTTTTTTTAATTGGTAAATAATATTAAAAATCAAGTAGATTTGGTCCTGTGGGCTACATAAAAACTTTTTGTAGTTGCCTTGTTCTTAGATTTACATATCGGGTCTCTCTTGTTGCAAACGACCAACACAGAACTTAGAAAACCAACGTCAGCTTACCCCCTGCGTTGGTGATGGTAACAGGAACTCCCTGAACTTGGACCCCGTTGATGCTGATTGTTTGCACTGCTTGTGCTGCTGAGGAGAGTTGCGACGTATTCAACGTTATCATTCCACCTGCCGGGGCAATTTTAGCCAGAGTCCGCTCCTTTCGCCCCCCTGCCTGCGTCCTCTTGGTGGTGGCCGGTGGCGGGGAGGTGGTGGTCGTGGCGGCGGCGGTGGCAGTAACAGAGGTGGTGGGGGTTGTTGTCGTGGAGGCAGAGTCCTGGAAGTGAACTGACTGCCATTCACCCGAAGCCGTTTTGAAAATGAGCTTCAGGAGAGAAATGTAAGGAGAGAAATGTCAAAATTTTGACTTCAACTGGACGATACAGCAGGACTGGAGTATATGTCTTCCCTCAATCAAATCAGTTTTTATCTCACTATGAGTTACAGTGAGGAGATACAACATATGGTCTTGCTTTACTTTCAGGATTTGGGCATACATACATTTTTGAAAAAAGAATAAAAAACCAAAAAAAACAATTATGACTCCATTTATGTTATTAGATCCAGTGTTTTAGCAAATAGACAACGGAAAGGACGCCTTAAATTATCTATAAGCCATATTTTTATGGTCGTGTTATAATAATTTATCACAACAGTGTGAAGGCCATGATGAGCCTACAGAGAAGTGTCATGCACATCTGCAGAGCTTCCTACGGGGGGTTCAGCAGTCTCATAGTGTCATTGTTGGCCATAGAAGGCAGCTGTTTTCAGAGTAAAAGCTCTAAAAAGCCCCAAAAAGGGCTAACCGCTAACCACAATCTGACCCTATTATAATTTGGTAGACACCAGAGTGACGGAGTGCTGTCACTCTAACAGATGAAGTCGCAGAGATAGACAGATACAGATACCAACCGACCCACCCTGAAGTCAGGACGTACACAATAGCGTTTAGGTGAACGTAGGTCTGAGTGGATACCTGTGTTGGTGACGGCTCTGTTGGAGTGACCTGCAGACTCGAGGAGACCGGCTGTCTCTGTGGGACAGGCGGTAGCGTGGCAGAGGCGGCCTGCACCACCTTCAATGCCTGCTGGGGGATCTGAACCACCTGAGAATCCGTCTTAGGCTGGACCAGCTGGACCTGCTGCACCATAGCCGGCTGCCCAGGACTCTGCACAATCAGCAAATTGTTCCCCGCCTGCACATACCGACACATAAGAAGTTATCTCGCAATCGTCTTGCGTTACGCTTTAAGCCAATGCTCACATTTGAAAGGGTAAGCTGAGCTCAAGGCTTCTGATTCAAACGCTGTATGGACAGTAAAACCTAGAAAACCACAGCACAACAGCTGCCTGCGATGCCTAGAAATAATGATGAGATTGGTGAGTAAACACTGAACTAAACCCTAAACTTTTTGAGTCAGTATACTGTAGATTAGCAGCATCAACATCTGCTGACTGACGTTACAACCTTGAGCTTCAGAACATCTAACCAATTGCACCTGAAGAGAAAAAGGCACTGTGGACCTTATAAACCTCCTAGACATCAGTGCAATGCTGCTACTGCAGTACGGGCTGAAATAGCAAATAAGTGCTGCAGCCATCAGGCGTACCTGTATGATGTTATCACCAGCTTCTATTAGGATGGTCTCCATCTGCTCTGGGGGTGGGGAAGCCGCCTGTGTGGGAGGTGGCGGTGGAGGATCTGCAGCCAGAATCACTTTCTTCTTTCTCCCTCGCCGTCCTTTTCCAGGAGTGGGAGGGGCAGCTGCCGTCTCCGTGACGATTTGAGTCCCGCCCACCTCCCCTGTAGCCACGTTAAGGGGCAGCGTGAGCCCACTGGGCAGCTGCACCATGTTAGCAGCTGTGTTGTTTGGCTTCCGCAACTTGAGAGAGGGCTTGATGGCTACAGTCTTCTGTGGCGTGACAGGAGCGGTGGCAGCAGCTGGGGCCGGCACGGTCATGGGAGTGGTGATGATGGCCTGGTTGGTGCCGGGTATGAGCTGGATCTGACCTCCCTGTGGCATCACCTGGATAGTCTGGGCGCCCTGGATCTGTGGCATCACCTGGTACTGGATGTTGGCAGGGGCCGCGGTGTTGGTGCGGGCAGGACTCTGCTGGATAGTAAGGACGATAGGGCTGCCAGGGGCTGTGGAGCCGAGGCCGGCAGGGAGTTGGATCACATTGCCCTTCGTTGAGAGGAAACCCAGGTTTTTGGGTGGAGCAGGGGCTATAGGAGCCGGCTTGATGGGAAGGAGCCTGCGAGGTTGCGGCTGTGCTGGAGGAGAGGTGACAGGAGCCTGAGCAGCAGGAGGGCCGATTTTACTGCAGGTGGCAGCCAGGAGGGCCAGAGGAGAGGGCTGGGTGTCCTACAAGGAGAAACACAGTGAAAGTCTGCGTGAAAACCAGAATGAGCAGAGCAAAGAGTGTAGCACTGAGGGCAGGATGGGGTGAGGGAGCAGAGAGATCAGAGGCTACAACAAGTAAAGACAAACCAACAGGGAAGCCAAATGATGCCAAAGTAAAGGATTTGTGAAGTGGATATAATGACCTAAACGTCTGCAGGATTGATCGTTCATTGATTGATGACTTGAGAAAAAAACAACAACATAAAACATTATATATATATTTTAAATCCCAAATGATATTTAATAATAAAATCATCAGAATAAATTACCAAAACTCAGCTTTTCTCAAGCCTTAAACTTCATTTCACATTCAAGGAAGGTTGTGACATGAAGTTAAAAGGTAAATTCTCTGTTATTAAAATACAACATTGGTTTCATAACTGCACAAGTTCAGGTTATTCTGGGATTAAACTTATCATCAGACCTCCTTATTCTACCAGATCACTAAATATGCCCAAAGTATTGAGAATAAGAACTCAACATTTTGATTAATACATATAGAACGGGTACCAAACAGTACATTACTACCACAAAAACGCACCCCAGAGCGCAGCAATAAAAAAACGCATCACGATGAACTGATATGAAGATGTCAGGGAAGTGCAACAGTTCAACCAGACAGCAGCGTAGCAGAACATGACATCTCGCTGTTACTCACTTGTGCAGAAGCGGTGGAGGGCTGAAGGTATTCGCTGGGACTGACAGCAACAGTGGTGGCCATACTGTCCTGTTGTTCTGGAAAACACACAGCAGAGTCAGATTCAGGATGCCTGCAGCCTCTATTTTCAGTGGTTGGGCTGTTCAAGGACATCAGAGGACATTACTACAAAACAGAACTGCTCCGGCGAGGACGAGCTGTGTAATGGCTTGCTCTAATTGCTACATGATTATTAAATATCATCAATTACACAAATTAAGACATTAACTGCATTGATGAGTGCATTAGCTTGCTAGTAGTTCCATATTGATATATGCATTTTACCACACATGTCCCATATTAGCATGACTGACATCACTTGAAGCATCAAGAGATTTGAAGAAAATATAGTTTGCTCTGATATTTCAACGCTGGTGGAAAATATTTTTAAAAATCACATCACACATGGCAGGGAGTCATTACATGTGTATGTCTAGTGTTGTTTTGTGTATTATAGTGTTGGGACCTAATGTTGTTAATGCACCGTAATAAAGCTTTGCACGAGTCGGCCCTGTTGTCTGGTCAAAGACAAGCCAAATACAAATACATGTGATGCTAAGGTTGCCGTGTTCTCTGTGTTCCCTTTCAGACACATGTGCCAAGTCAGTGCTAACTAACATTTCACTCCCAGTGAAGACTCGCAATCTACTTTAAATAAATGTAAATATACATTGTGTTGGGGCTTTTTAGTTACTGTTTTAGTAATTTGGTGCACAGGTAAAAATGCACCAATACCAGTCAAATACAGAAGGACGAACTCGTGACCATGTTGCATTATCTTAGCTTGCAAACAAATTTTCTCAACAGAACAGCGGTCTGGAAGGTGGCGACAAAATACTGACAATCTACTTAAGCATGCATCAGAAAACAGTCAACGGTAATGTAAAGAAGTATATGGGATTAAAACATAGCAGAGCATCTATTTCAGTTGTTTAGTAGCTGAGTATGTATGGATACACACGTACTGTTTTTTAAATCCCATTAAGTACCCATGTGGGTTAGCACATCTGCTACTATTTTGATTTATGGATCCATTATCCAGTACAACCAACAACGTCTCAAAAGTCAACCCATTAAGCATGAGACAACAATCTGCATGGCAGCATTTGCAACAAGTGGTGCAGGGCTGTGAGTCTTCTGCAGACTCAAACTAACGAACAAAACCATAATGCAAGCCGGCTTTCGTAAAGTTAGCTGACTAGCTATGAGAGCTGTTTGGCTGTGATAGCATGAGCACAGACAACACTGACTAACAAAAGACAAGCCAGTGGCAATGATTCAGAGGCTCTGCAAGCAAAGAAATGCATTACTGGACTGCAATCAAAGACATTATGTGAGAAAAAGAGAATTTATGGAGCATACTATATCTCCATTTCGACAGTCAGCATAAGTACATTTAGGGCAGGTTGCCCAGCAGTTTAAGAGCAGGCGAACTCTGGAGGACCAGACAAAGTTACCTACTGGTCAAAATATGTTGAGGCTGTTGTTGTCAATGGGACACAGATGAGAGACCTTTTATTTTCACTCCAAAATATGAACCAAGACAAGTGCACATTCAGAACAAAATTTTGTTGCACCTCGCTCACAACTGCTATACATCCATATATACTGCAAAATAAATTCAAGTGCAACATACAAATGTAACGTAAAGGCAGGTAGTCTGTGTTTTCATGGAAGTAGTGGTTGGGAGCACTTTATAGTTTAAATTAACATCTGTCGTCATTCATGAGCAAATAACTCAAACAGAAATACTGCTCGTATTGGAGTACATCAGTTCAGCTCAAGGCACATCACTTGCATCAAACTGCAGGTAACGTGTAACCACATGAAAGCCAGACGCTGTTCTGGCAACCAGCAATACCTGTGAGAAATGCACATGCTGCTGAGAGAAAAAGCGATTCATCACAGATCTGCTCAAACTGCAAAAGATGCTGACCTCACACACGTGCCAATGAGCATCCACAAAGACAAAAAAAAAAAAAAAAAAATCTGCAGAATATAAACTGATTTAACTGGAAATCATCTCTCATCATTTGGGAAAAACATGCAAATGCTATTGGTATTTGGTATGACTATATACAATTAGGATGGGGGTATTGTCATCCCAGAAGAGACAATTCCCATCAGGATAGAAATGTTTAATCACAGGATATAGATGATCAATCAGAACAATTTTGTATTGATTTGCAGTGATCTGTCCCTCAAAGTAGATACAATGAATTAAACCAGCAGAATGGTCCCCACAGCAAAACAGACTCTGTGTATGCCATCAAGGTCAAGGATTCAAGCTTTCATCTGTGATTTGTCATCTGTCTGCACTTGTTTCTCAGAAATACAAACGTTTAGCTCTATACTTTCAGGGTAACAACACATGAAAGACACAAACAGGGGCTTCGTTACAACCATACTTAGGTTTGGATAATTCAAAACACAGAACATAAGTTTCTAGTTATGAGAAAATGCTTGAAACAAAAACTCTTATTTTCTTCAAATTGAACTGTCTATTTCTGCCACCTCATCTGTCAACACTGAACTTTACCCTGACAGAAAATAAACTCAATCTCTGTACAACATCAGGACAACAAACAGGAACCTTGTATTTAGCTTGTCTCGATAATTAAAAATAAAATGAAAGTATTTTAAGAGCAGCTGTAAATCATAATGCCTAAACTTTACTGTCAAAGCCAAAGACTTTCACACGGGGATATCTCTCTCTGCTGAACCACTAATCTCTCCAGGCTGTGACAGATTTTTGAATATATATGACGACAGTGCTTCACAATAATAAACTTAAGCAATTTTACAGGCAACACCAGCTCTGCGAGTGTGTCTTTAAGCCCTGAAAGCAATGTACAAATAGAAAAAACTGTGCGGCCTCAAAATAGCGCCGCCATCAAACACATACTGTTGGGTTGCTTTGCACTGGACAAGCAGCTAGCGTTAGCAAGCTAGCTAGCAATACTGACTAACCAGGACAGACTGAAGTGGCTAGCAGCTAGCTTAAGCTGATTTGGTGTCTGTGCAGCCTACTTTCTACTGACGAGCGATCCGAAACAGGAACGCTACTTGCACCATCGAAATAACTCTGTGTTTTGTTGTGGAATTGATGTGTGGTGGAAATGCACGGACGGGTTTGGAAAAACACAAGTGAGGAACAGCTAAGCAGCTTCTATTAACATTCAGGCTAGCAGACGCGTAGCTAGCAAGTCAAACTCTCTTTGATAACGTTACAGAAAAAGGCAGCCCTTTTCCAGAAGTGCACTGCTTATTTTGGTTATCACAACCGCCTGAGTCCCCCCAAAACACAGTTATTCGTACCGCACAATGTCAAGAGCTTTTCTCTTCAATGCAATTATAATGTTTTACGAAGTAGAATGTAATATAAACACCAATGTTTTAATTCCTACCCACCGCTCATGACGACATTCGCTCTCCGCGAGCCTTGAAGACCGAGCCCATGGAGGAATCCGCCCGCGCTGCTGCACCAATCCCGAGACAATGGAGCGGTGACCGACCGCCGCTCTGACCAATGAGCTTCGGCTACCGATATGATTGACATTCACCAGAGCCAATCCGAACGCGGAATGTTTGGACGTTGCTCGATGGATGACGATTGGACCAATAGGATATCGAGATTGTGCTCGAAGGGGAGGTTGTCGGGGGCGGGACTTCGAACAAGCGAGCGTCCTATGAGAGCAGACACTGGGCTTCACTGACGGCACCGGGGGCCAATGTGATGTTTGAGGGGCAGTTCGGTCACAACAAGAATGACAAGCGCGCTGATCAATGAGCTGTGAGTCGCTGGTGTCTGACCTGTTTAAACTGTCCCACGGTATAATGTGAGGAGCAGACCGTTATGTGGGGTAGCGCAGACTGCGTTAAGCCAGTGTAAACGGATTATAAATTCATTTTAAAGCCGCTGTAAATATCAATATATCTGCACCCTCAATATTCCTACAGTTCTATGGTTCTTTATTTAAATTTACTTAATTCTTCACTGCACGATGTTTTTTTTTTTTGCTTCTGCTTTGCACGACTACAATTTTTTTTATTTTTAGTTACTGTTATTTTTTTTTAGCTATTTTGGTATTTTTATCTTGTGCATTGTACCTTACTGTATGTTTATTGTTGCACCAACCCACCAGAACAAATCCCTCCTATTATGTAAACTATACCTGGCAATTAATCTGATTCTGATTCTGATTAACATACTATGCTACCATGCTATGTGTGTGTGTGTGTGTGTGCGGATGCAGCTAGTCATGCAGTTCAAATAGTTCTTATCTGCAAAAATGCTTGTGTCTGTATTTGTTGTTTACATATGAGCCTGGACTGCACAGTTTTGTAAACTGCACTTTCTTTCCTCTGTCATTGCGTCATACCCCTCAGGTTTAATCTGTTTATATTGTGGTCTTTATCAATCTATCTGTCTGTCTGTCGGTTGCTCTCAAAGCATCATTTCGTACCAGTGACACATGGCTAACACATGCAAGCTGTTGTCTATTGAGTTCTATTGTTTTCAACACAACCCGCACAATAGGCTGTAGCTTTACTCTCAGAGGCTCGTTGACCTTGTGTTTTGCTCTCTCCTTGTATACTCTGTTAATCCATTGGTGGATGCAGCGTTCAAGTCATTAGTTGACTGAAAACATATCTGTTCTGCTGTTAAAACTCACCAATCAATAGACCATAAGCTATAATCGTGGTGTTCAGGAGTACAGTGATGGAGATAAAGGACCCATTAGCACAGATTCATAAAAGGCCTCTCACGTCTCCTATATGGAAGCCAAATATCCAGACACAAAACAACAACAAATGATGCCGATGTGTTCTGAGTCACTTTGTGGTCTCTCTCTGCTGTTGTTTTGTCACTATATCCTCATTTACTTGTGTTGCGCATCTTCTAGTTGCATCTCTTCACTGCTGTTCTGCATGTATTTGTTCACATTTTTGCATCTCTTTCTGCTTACATTTGTCTCTTTGCGGTTATCTGTACTCTTTGTGGTCATTTTGAATCTCTTTCCAGACACGTGGAGTCTAGTGGCGGTCCTTTTGTGCCTCTTTACGGTGCTTTCGCGTGTCCTCATAGTTGTTTTGTCTCATTTGGCGTTGGCTTTCCATTCATTTGTGTTCACTTCAGCACCTTGTTTTCATTGATTGTGTCCCAACATTCAGTTTTTTTGGCCCTTTTTGTACATTTGCAGTCGTGTTACATCAATCGGTCCTTTTTGTGCTTGTTTTTGCCAGTTTGTGCCTCTTTCTACATGCTTAGAGTCTTTTGTCTGATTGACATACATGTTAACAGTCACTTCAAACAGGGGCTCTGGACCAAATAAATAAAGTGTGATGATTTGTTATGGATTAAACTACCCAGCAATATACACAAGTTTGGTTTTTTTTGTTTTTTTTTTAATTAGTCAATCCATTTAGATGTTGTCTGACAGAAAATTAAGTATTTAGATAAATATGTACTCTTGCTGTGTTGCTTGTAAGGCAGGAAAATTAGGTACTTTTTTTTTTTTTTTTTTAAATCTTGTTTTTGAGATCTTCTACCTTAAAATGGGCAAAAATGCAACACAATGGGTGCCCCTATAGCTCACCTAGTTGAGTAGGTGACCCATGAACAGGGGCTGTGTTTCCCAGCCGCAGTGGTCGTGGGTTCAAGTCCTGCTCATGACCCTTTGCTGCAGGTCTCTCCCCCTTCCTCTTCCCCCATTTCCTGTCTCTCTACTGCTCGAAATAAAGGCAAAAGCCCAACAACAACAACAAAAATGCAACACAACATTTTTAGACCCTGAACAAGTGACATTTTTTTTGCTTCAGATGTTAGTCTTAACTCTTTTTTTTAAACTTCTTCCCACCTGATAGCACTACAGAGATTTGTTCAACAACATAGTCAAAAGATTTGACCTTAAAGTTTCAAATCTAAGTAAAACAAATGCTGTTTTCTTGAACACAGACTAGACTAGACCAGACTAGTTTCTAATACTGAAGACTTGGGACTTGTCTTATTGGTTTTGTGTTACAACCCAACAAGAAAGGCTGACGTGATCCCAGCTCCGCTACTGCAGGCCTTTCACCCCGTGGAGAAAATGTTCCCGTTGTGGCTGTCAGTCCCATCTGTCATCAGCATCAGCTGAGTTTGCCCCCAGCACTTCCAGCCAGCATGTAGGCTACCATGAGCTGTCCCTCTTTCTCATTGGATCACTCCCTGTGACTCCATTCACATGCACAATGCATGCGGTGCCTTTTCATATAGGCTTTTCCCAAAGAGTGCACTTGACCTTATTCACATACAGACATCTCTCATTTCTCCCCAGTGCATCCTCTCCCTGCTTCACTGCATGGGTTTTTAAAGTGCTTGGGAAACTGAAGTCCTGCTTTTAGCTAAACCACTTCCTCCCTCTTCACCTCAAGTGTGCTGTAGTTGGCGGTGGAGGATGCAGATACTGTCTATCACCTTCTCCCCAGGCACCTCTGTGGAGAGCCTCAGAGAGAAAGAGCTGCATAATTTAACTGGGATATCTCACTTTTTTCACTTAACACGCTTCATGAGTGAGCCAAAGCATTAGTCAGAGAGTTTTCAGCCTTAAACATTTCAAAGGGAATAGCTGACGTTAAAAAATGAAGCACTCTTTATGCTGAGAATCCAGCAGCAGAAGCTGTGAAGCATCTGTACAGTGTTAACTCACAGAAATGGATGTCCTGCATTAGGGTTGCACATCCATTTCCATGTTGGCTGCTGAAAAGTGTTGCATTCATTTGATGCTGCCTGGAGGCGAAAAAGTTTCATGTACTGAAATCATGAGTTAATGAATGGATTGGTTCAAATAAATCTGTTATCTGTTTCTTTAGTAAGTTTTCAAGGAAAAATTATTTAAAAAGTCGTTTTTTGTGCTTCTTAAATGTAAAAATTCTTTGTTTTTATGCCATATATGAAACTATAAACTGTATATAGAATATTTTGGGTTCAGTA